ATAATGTGGATTATTTTAAAATCGATGTGCTTTCAGTTTGACTTCATTTATATGGAGCTTGCTAAATTAATGCAAATATGTATTTCTTTAACATGTGATGGTGTTTTTATTAGATATGGATGGTTAAAATAGTTAAACTGTTTAGTGTGAATAATGTTATTCTATTGTGTTAGAGATGCAACGCTTCAACTCTGCAGATTATTGCAAAGACTATGGACCATGTTATTGAATTACTTCTACCGGCCAGCAGAGGGCGCTGCATCACTTGTTCTCAATACAATGTTCCAGAGTCTGTTAAATAACTATGTTTCAGGATTCAAAGGTTTATCGTCATGACATTTAGAAACTACGGTGTGATTATGTAATGTATAAAACATGTGATCTCAGGTTCCTTAACAGTGCAATTAACAAGACATAAGAAATACATATAAAAAACAACTATACAAATAGAAATAGTGCAAGCTCAGGTGTTTAATAGTCTGATGGCCAGTGGGATGAAACTGTCCCTGATGCTATTCTGATGATGCAGTTTATGGATGATTTGTATCTATCTGTATTTGTGTCTATGAGCAATGTCTTGTTTCACTCTGTTGTCACCAGTGAATAAATGTGCTGCCACACATTGTTGTTTTTGTGTTTCTCTTGAAAACATCAGTGCTTTAATCAAGTCTGGAGAAACAATCTGATTCATGGTGCGACCATTTGGATGAGAATAAGATAGAAGGAGATCAGGCCTCAATATCCAGTCACTCTGTCAACATCAGCACCAGCAGAGTTCCAGAGAGGGACAGGAAGTGGAGGTGGATTGGCCAAAAAAAGTGCAAACACTAAGTAAGATGTATCTATGATGATATGATGTGATAATAGTGTTTAAACTCATCAATGCATCAGGGTCCATCAATGCTGCTCAGTTCCTCCTACCCTTAGGTTGTGTTCAGGTCTCCTTTGACCCTTTTCAAGTTAACATTATATAATAACTACCTCTAGTTTTGTATCAGAACAAGGCTTCATGATATCCTCCACAACAGCTCTATGAACACTACTAAACTGATTTTGACCATTGTAGCCAAGTCTGTAGGTCTCTACAGACTTATAATAGTCAGGAGAAACAATCTTATTCACGATGATGTAACATGTTTTAAAATGAACCAAAAGTAAATCAATATTTAGTCTCTAGCAGAGTTCCAGAGAGGGACAGGAAGAGGCATTGAGAGCATTTTGGTGACTAAACATACGTTTTTGGGGCCTAGAAATCCATGGAGATCCACATTGCAGTTAATATGATTATTTATTAGGAAATCCAATATGTTGGACGTGTGACTCTATTAAAACCCGGTGAAAGGGCCGCATGTTTTCAAGTTCCGCTTTAAACTATTTGGGAAGTATCAACATGACATGAGAACAGGAGATTAAAAAGATGCCATCTCCACCTCGAAGCAGAAGTCGACTGAACCGTCACATCAGAGAGACGCTCTCATCAGGACTGCAGCAGGACTTTGTTCAGGACCAAAGGAAACATAATCGAGGATATGGGTAATTAAAGAATATTCCAGAGTTTATGTGTGTGTGTGTGTGTGTGTGCGTGTGTGTGTGTGTGTGTGTGTGTGTGTGTGTGTGTGTGTGTGTGTGTGTGTGTGTGTAAGATATAACCTATGATATGTTTTTCTTTGTCTTTATCAACATGTTTTCCTTGTATGAACATATATGCGTAAATTGCTTCTGAGGCTTGACCACTCCCTCGCAGCACATTATTTTAAATATCATTTAGGGAGGCCTGTGGCGCAGTGGATAGAGCCTTGGTGTTGGTCACACAGGTTCAAACCCCACTGCAGTCAGCATGTCGTTGTGTCCCTGAGACACATTACATTAAGCTGACGCTTTTATCCAAAGCGACTTACAATAAGTGCATTCGACCAGGAAGACACAACCTTGAAGAAAACAGAATCATATAAGTACATCAGGTTTCATAGAGCCAAACATTTCAAGTGCTACTCAACTGGCTATAGATAAACCAGTCCTTTATTAGTATATAAGTGCTTTGTTAATAGTTCTAACGCTCGAAGTGGAGTCGAAAGAGATGAGTTTTCAATCTGCGCCGGAAGGTGTGTAAGCTTTCTGCTGTCCTGATGTCAATGGGGAGCTCATTCCACCATTTTGGAGCCAGGATAGCAAACCCACGTGTTTTTGCTGATGGGAACTTGGGTCCCCCTCGCAGCGAGGGTGCAGCGAGTCGTTTGGCTGATGCAGAGCGGAGTGCACGTGCTGGGGTGTACGGTTTAACCATGTCCTGGATGTACGAAGGGCCAGATCCATTCGCAGCACGGTAAGCAAGTACCAGTGTCTTGAAGTGGATTCTAGCAGTTACTGGAAGCCAGTGAAGTGAGACACTTCACCCCAAATTGCTCCTGTGGGGATTGCCCACAGTATTGAGTATGTGAGTCGCTTTGGATAAAAGCTTCTAACAAGTGACATGTAATGTAATGATAAACTGCATAGACTATCTACCTATCTTCCTATCTATCTCATAACATGTTGATTTGAGTATTGTATTTAAATACCTGATGACTGTACCTCTGTTGTCAGAACATCATCAATAGTTACAGTATATCAACTGTTGGATTCTGGATTGGCCTGAGAGTTGAAAACGGGAAATGGAAGTGGGCAGATGGAAGTGATCTGACTAAAGGCCCTGACACACCAAGCAGTCACCAGAGGACTCGCCGACGTTGGCTGTTGCGTCGCGGTGTTCTCCTGCGTCTTGGCCATGTGTCGCACGGGAACACACCGCAAAGACTTCAGTGCGTGAGTGGCAATAACTCTCCTTACCAGCAGGCGGCGGTAGTGTGTATTCGTCATTAAAAATAGGCAACAACCGGAAGACAGAGAAGAAGAACAGACTGCGTGATATAAACAACAACAAATAGCGTGTGCAAACTGCAGCCTGGTTATGATCCACTGCTGTCTGCCCGTCTTTGGTGCTCCACAACTACCCGAAGGGGCAAGTCTCCTGTACCGGGTGTACTGGGTTCGCAGAGAATCCCACTTCTTCCTCAGCTCTTTCTCTGAAGCACACAAATAAACAATGTAAGCATTGTGGCTAGTTAGCATGTCCAATTCATATCTATATGCAGTGCCAAACTGCACAGCTAGCAACAGCTAGCAACAAGATAACAACAAAACACAAGGTTGAAATAACAAATTGCTTTTCACGTTAACGTCACTGTACGCTGGCAAACAATAAAAAGCCAACAATATCTGCTAAAGAGCTCAATTGATGAAAAATATAATCTTACCCGAGAACCAAGTTGCGTTTCAATCTCTCGCCAGAGTCCGGTTTTCACTACTCGGTTCGAGTACCTTTTCTCTGTGATGTCGTACAGAGCTGGCCTCTCCTGGATCAATGTGATGAGCAGGTCTTCGTTTGTGTCATTCCAGATCGCCATGATGAGATGAAAATGAATATCAGTCTGTGTGTGCCTTCTTAAATCGTTTGTTTACGTCCCTCACTTCCGTTTCGCTTCTCATGCACTGATTCGCTAGCTGAACAGCCAATCAGAGTGATTGTTTGATCCGACTGCCAGACCCGATGCATGGCCGATTCAACATGTTGAATCGGCCATGCATCGGGTCTGGCAGTCCAAATAAGGCGTGTCACGGTCGACGGTGCGGGACACACCAAATTGAGTTTGGGCACGCTTCGTCTCCCGACTTACGAAAACAGCCGAAATCGGCCTGGTGTGTCAGGGTCTTTAAAGAGCCTGTGACACGAGATTCCCCCATCATCCAAACCCATCAATTTGAGTAAATATTGTCCCCTTGAAAACCGTTACTGAACTGATTTTGGATATTTGTACTTTGATAACCATTAATTTTCCCTTCAATGTTGACCATTTCCTGGATCTTCTCTGGGATTCTTCAAGTGCCGCCAAATGATGTGTGACGTCATTGCGGGCCCAGCGCTCCAGCTGCACCGTTCAGGATCCCAGCATCTGCATGTAAACGCACGATGGTGCACACAGCAGCAAGCTCAGACAGCTCAGACAGTTTAATTTTGAACGTGTCTGAGAGCTCATATGAGGCTGAAGGATTGGTTTATGTTGTATCTATTAGAAGTTTAGGAATTAGGTGCGTCAATATGGGCGATCATACGGTCATGTAGCCAGTGGTGGACTGGGACTAAAAATCATCCCGGTGTTGTGTCACATTATGCCTCCCCGTCATGAAATGCCCCCCTTGTCACGGGAACGCACATTTCTAAATGACACGTTTCACCTCTAAATGACACGTTAACACCATAGGTTTACACCTTAAAACGATGTTTAAAACGAAAAGTAAACGTTCAGGGTTTTTATTAATGGTAATTTTCAGACTGTGAGTTGTTTAGTGGTAGCTCATAGTCTTGATTCTTCTGGTTTAACTTTTCGCTCCGTATTTGAGGTGTCGAAATTCGTTCGTCACTTCCTTTTCAGTTTGTTTTTTTAAATGTTTTTTTTTATCATTATTGTTACGTCCTGTCTGTATAAACGTGCTTTAAAATGTATTGTTTAATTTTACATGGTTGTCATCTAATAATCAAAATATGTTTACAAATGTTACATAGTCTTTGTCAGCATATTATTATATACGCTATGCGTACAAAATAAAAGTGTGACATTCATGAATCTTGCTCCATTTATTGGTACCAGTCCTAGAACCATACCCTGAAAAATGCTTGAGGGTGGGATTCATAGAAACCTCTTTTGGTGGGGGGGGGGGGGGGGGCATTTTATGACAGGCCTGGCCATCACAATATGCCCCCCCTTGCTATCTTACAAAATTAAAGTGTGACATTCATGAAACTTGCTCCATTTATTGGTACCAGTCCTAGAACCATACCCTGAAAAATGCTTGAGGGTGGGATTCATAGAAACCTCTTTTGGTGGGGGGGGCATTTTATGACAGGCCTGGCCATCACAATATACCCCCCCTTGCTATCTTACAACATAAAAGTGTCACATTCATGAAACTTGCTCCATTTATTGGTACCAGTCCTAGAACCATACCCTGAAAAATGCTTGACGGTGGGATTCATAGAAACCTCTTTTGGGGTGGGGTGCATTTTATGACAGGCCAAACAATAGTTGCATTGGTTGAAATGACAGTGGACAGTTAATGATGGTTCCTTCGGGGCATTATGTGCATCCAGGGCACAAGTACGGTTGATCAACTGGAGGCCTTTGTACACATTGGTGGTGGTACCACTGCTGACAAATGTCACAGCAAATCTGAGAAAACAATAAATACTTACTTATGTAAGGTATGCATTATGGGATTTTGTTATGATAATAGAATATCTCTAATGTATTTCCCACTAACACTAACCATTCCTTCAATAATCGAAATCTTTCAAAAACATAAATGTTGTGTTATGAGAAAGAAATACATTTTCAACAAAAATGTATGGAAAAACAAGCAAAACATTAATCCTTTATCAGTTAATGCTGAAGATGCCAAATATAGTAGCAATTACCAACGCAAATGTTATGTTGATAAAGTCTGGAAACATATTTCTGCTAATTTTCTTTATTTGTAATGTGCAATAGGAAATTACCCAATGTTCTTCATCCTGCTCCTCCATCCCGCAGTAAAAGCAAAGCCTGCTTAGATCATCTGTTGAGACAAAACGTAATCAATATCTTCAGATAAACCACATTGCAGATTTGGGGTCAAGGTGACCCATTCCAATTTTTGACTAAAAGGTCAATTATATAAGGACACATTTGTTGTGGTCTTTTATTATTTTGTGTGAAGAAAAGGCAAAACACACACAAACACATAGATTTTCTAAATGATTAAATCTGAGCACAGAGGAGCCATCTGCTCCTTCTTTCACACTCTCCTTACCCTCTGTAGAATGGGAACCTGCACAATGTCATTACAAAACATCCAAAAACTTCTTTCGCACTGTACGCATCAATTTAAGTTTGGTTCTCATGGTTCTTTTGTTGTTCATCACATTAGCTTTACAGCTTTGATTATAATAAGTTCAAGGTAAAAATTAACTGAGGATATCAGTTAAACTAAAAGTAATACACACCAATGAGCACATTGAAAGGAGGAAGATGGGGAAATCTCACATCTTAAATAAACCGCAGAATTGAAAGGGTGTGTTAGAGTGTGATGTGTGTAGCCTATATGAAATTGCAGTTGAAGATGCCTGCCTGCGATGCTTCATATGTTATCTGTTTGGAGTTGAGATACACAATATACTGTATGTAGTGACTATTTACCCTAATCTATACTTAAGCCACTGTGTTGCTTTTAAAACCCTGATAATGTCCCTGGTCAACAGTACCAATGGTCCAAGCAGTGATACAATACAACAATTTGCATGGCACATTATTAATATACTAGGTTATTGATGCATACTTATGAGATACAATTAATACAAGTAACTACATGAAGTCATTGACAATGTTGAGAAAAGGTAACAAACCAGATTCTCTGAGGAGAGAAGTAGCAATGTCCAGCCTCAGCTCGTGCACTGCCTTCTGTGAGGTTTCAAACTCAATTACCTCCCCCAGTAAAATGTTCTCTGCAAACTGAAGAGAACCTTGATTAGTATATGGACTGCATGGTCTATGATTTTACCCTCAAATGGAATACAGACAAATGACCCAACAGATTTAAAGAATGACATGTTGTATATGTGTAGTTTGACACAATTCAATACATCTTTGATCAAGATGTATAAAAGCAAGTCAAGATATTCAGTCTAATTGCTACTGAATTTGAGTTTGAGAGTAATGTTTGGCTAAATGCATTTCACACTCACTTTTAAGGCCAGGACACCACAGGATGTGCTGTCTTGTTGGCGATTATGGGAGAGGGTGCTGCATGTCCATCTTGACACCTTGCAGCCTTTCATCCTCATAAAGGCTCTACAGTATGTAGATAGTACATGTGTCAAGATGCAGCACTGTCAAAATACTCATAAAACACCGGAACTAGTACACTGTATCAAATGTACCTTGTAGACTGCAGGCACACCTTCGTTTTGCCTTTCCCTTCTCCAAGTGGATCCAAGAAGAGGGTTTTCTTCTCATGGGGGTACATTACCTTTTATTATTCACATGGAAACACAACATGCATTAGGCAGGAACCATACATTAGGCAGGTACGATGTAGGGTATTGTTTAGATTTGATCAATAATAAGTGACAGCATGTATGTGTGGCCCGGTTATCTTGCAAATCACTAATTATATATGGTGTATACAGCACTATAGATACAGATTGGAGCTTAAAATATGCTCCTATTCTCACCACCAACATCCAGTGATGGTTCTCGTTCACAATTCCCACCATGACTGTGTGTGCCATTGGATCAACCTGAGAGTAGTTGCAAAAGTCTTACATTCCTGTTGAAAAATGCACATTTGCAACATTTACAAAAGCAAAGTCATTCCAATCATGTACATACCCGGATTCTTCCAAATTTGTGTTTCCAGATGGCGGTCATAGCGTAGCTGTCAATAACAGCTGCTTGACCGTCATTGCGCTGGTTGATTTTTCTGGGTATGGTTCTAGGACTGGTACCAATAAATGGAGCAAGTTTCATGAATGTCACACTTTTATTTTTGTAAGATAGCAAGGGGGGGCATATTGTGATGGCCAGGCCTGTCATAAAATTCCCCCCCCACCAAAAGAGGTTTCTATGAATCCCACCCTCAAGCATTTTTCAGGGTATGGTTCTAGGACTGGTACCAATAAATGGAGCAAGTTTCATGAATGTGACACTTTTATTTTGTAACATAGCAAGGGGGGGTATATTGTGATGGCCAGGCCTGTCATAAAATGCCCCCCCCCCACCAAAAGAGGTTTCTATGAATCCCACCCTCAAGCATTTTTCAGGGGATGGTTCTAGGACTGGTACCAATAAATGGAGCAAGTTTCATGAATGTCACACTTTAATTTTGTAAGATAGCAAGGGGGGGCATATTGTGATGGCCAGGCCTGTCATAAAATGCCCCCCCCCCCACTAAAAGAGGTTTCTATGAATCCCACCCTCAAGCATTTTTCAGGGTATGGTTCTAGGACTGGTACCAATAAATGGAGCAAGTTTCATGAATGTCACACTTTTATTTTGTACGCATAGCGTATATAATAATATGCTGACAAAGACTATGTAACATTTGTAAACATATTTAGATTATTAGATGACAACTATGTAAAATTAAACAATACATTTTAAAGCACGTTTATACAGACAGGACGTAACAATAATGATAACAAAAAACATTAAAAAAAAAAAACTGAAAAGGAAGTGACGAACGAATTTCGACACCTCAAATACGGAGCGAAAAGTTAAACCAGAAGAATCAAGACTATGAGCTACCACTAAACAACTCACAGTCTGAAAATTACTATTAATAAAAACCCTGAACGTTTACTTTTCGTTTTAAACATCGTTTTAAGGTGTAAACCTATGGTGTTAACGTGTCATTTAGAGGTGAAACGTGTCATTTAGAAATGCGCGTTCCCGTGACAAGGGGCGCATTTCATGACGGGGAGGCATAATGTGACACAACACCTGCACAAACAAACGATTTTTAATCATCATTCTCACGATCATTTATTGTATCATATGTTCGCCGAATTGATATGAAAGCACTAATAAATGTAGTTTCATCCACTTGAGTTTACAACTACAAAAATAATCGATTTGTTTTTATATCACATCCTACGGGAGGAAATTCAGCAGTTCTCACTACCGATTTTTAATCCTAATTTAATCATCATCTTCACCACGATCATTAATGTTTATGTTCGGCGAATTGACATGAAAGCCCTGACAAATATGAATATACTGTAGTCAACTTCATTAAAACGTTATTAACGTGCCTAAACTCAGTAATTCACCATTTCTACGCATGACAACACACTTTGTCCGTGTTTGGCTCTCTCGCCGCACAGTGAAGCGTTCCCGCATTGACGTCACTTCCGGCTTCCCCCAAAACTTCAAAATGAGTCGAAGGAATTTCCCCGCGATGTTCGAAATTATTGATATTTAACGGAACGGTATCGCTTTTTCTTTTTTAAACTGACCGTTCGAGATTACAGGGGGTGCTAGAGGAATAGCGCTTCAGATGAGGAGGTGAGGCCCCCTCATAACTGCATGAACCCGTATGGCTAAATACAACTCAGTACATTTTTGGTAATTGTTATACCCTTTCTTTAGTAGAATTGTATAAATTGGAAGGCTAACTAGTTAATCAGCTCGTCGGTGGGAACCCCTGCTGTAATTAGTGCTTATTTAGGGCAAGTGAGGAAGTTGTTGTACATGAGTTTTGGTCTTAATATGCTCTGCTCAATATGGGCCTAATAAGGCAGCAGTACCACAAGAATAGAAATTCTCCCATAATAACACTTAACAAATATGATCTATTCTTATGTAACAAGACATTAAACTATAAGTGTTAATTGTGTCCAAATAACTCCAAATTAGGTATTTCTATCTAAGAATATGTTCCCTATTTAAAAATGAAGTCTTGTTCAAAACCAATAAGCTAGTAGTTTGACTCTAATTGACCTCAACAGGTTCCCTATTCTAAAGTTGCCTCCTCTTCAGACTTTGTAAATACATGATAGCACACAACAACTGAAATCAACCTCAACATGAACAAAGTAGGCACACGTTGAAATATCTGTTTTATTAATGAACCACTAAAGAGAGGTTCAGGCACATGTACCAAAACATGTCAAGTTTCTCCAAGGCTGAGAACATATGCAGCCTGTACTTTTAATAAAAACTGATTTTTAACAGAGTTTATGTATTTGTGATCATACTGTGTGACCTGCTTGTATGTACACAATAGGTGTACTGTTCTCTCTATGTGTTGTACTGTCTCAATGTGAACAGAGACAGCCAGCCAACTCTTTTGAGAGCCAGGGAATGAGCAGCCATGCTCCTTTATTGACTTATTTTCAGTCCACTGACATTCAAACTGTTACGAACTTGGATACACGAGGGAAACAAGGACTCAAATGCACGACCCGGGAGCCAGAGATAAAGTACAAGTAATATACTTTATTTGCCAAAAAGGATATTCAAAAAATATAACGGCACTCTTAACGAGGCGAACACAAATAGGTTTCACAAAGGCACAACAACAAATCAACAAACTTACAATAAGTTTCAGGAGCATGAATAAGGCATGTAACAAAAAGAGCAACCGTTGATGAGCAGAGTTCTGGCATGAGGACAGGACAAGACGAACGGACACTGAACACTGGGAGACTGGGGAATTTAAACACTCGACAACAAGACACAGGTGAAAACAATCAGGGGCGGGGCTGACGCTGATGAGGGCGGGAGAACACATTAGGAAAGGGAGTCAAGGAACCTGAAATGAGACGTGACGTAACAAAACGAGAAGTGAAAAACAATACAAAAATAACAACATGAAACATGACTGACTAACACTTTTGGCGGTGCACAACAGTACCCCCCCCCTCTAGGGCCGACTCCTGATGGCCCAGGCTGATCATAAAAATCCTGGATGAGAGTCTTGTCTACTATAAACCTCGCACACAAACGGAGTGAAACTATAAAAAAAGAAGTTACAAGGTGTTAGGGAAATAATTGTCCTAGACTCCTAGATATGACGTACAGGACCAACCCTGACGTCTGTTTACCTCCTTTAAGGACACAGGCTGTTTCAGCCAATAATGTTATTGTTCCCATTCTGTGACCGGTCAATACTGGGTCACAGATGGTCTGTATTGTGGGTACACTGGGACACTTCCTTCTCTGTTGTCTGAGGACTCCAGGGCATGACATATCCAAGGCCATAAGTGGCGGAAGCTGGTAACTTAGTGTGCCCAAACTATCTAAAGCTATCTTATCAAAACATGTTGATGACTCTCTGTGGAACCAGTTAAATGGGCTGGCAAGAGAGAGGCTCTCCAGAATTGACGTGGCAACCCACCCGTGCAGTCTCACCGGGACTGCTGTGGACTTGTGATGTGAATCCTCCGGCCGTAACTCCAAATAAACCATCAGTGTTTGACATCAAAGCTACTGCTCCTACCGTGTCTCCTTCCTGAGTCGGTGACTCCCACAGCATAGCTACACAGAAGTTTCCTCTACACAAGGCACTTAATGATCTCATACCTGTAAGTGTAACATGCACAGATTAACACATAAGACCGCTAAGTGTAAAGCCCCTGTCACACTGTCCCGAAAATTGACACCCGATGTTCGGCTCTGATCGTAACAACATGGGGCCATTCGCGAGGGCATATTAAGCCATCGTATGACCGCCGGTGGAGTTTCTCAGGCTCCGGCAGCAACTTCGTGAGCGGCAACTTCGTAAGGCACTCGTGAGGGCATCTTGTCAAATCGTGTCATCTTCGTGTTATCATCGGTGCCATCGGGCATTCGCCCTCACTCTGATCGGGGCGAATGCCCGATGGCACGGATTATTTGACAACCTGCCCTCACGATGGCCTTAGGAAGGGCAAAATTAACATACGAATTCAACACAAAAATGAACCTTCGCAAGGTCCTTCGGCAATTTTGTGGCATGCCAAAGATTGTGCCACCGCTCATGAAGTTGCTGCCGGAGCCTGAGAAACTCCATCGGCAGTCATATGATGGCTTAAGATGCCCTCTCGAATGGCTCGATGTTGCTACGATCAGAGACACATTTGAACATTTCCTTTATCGTGTGTCCATCGGGTTGTTTTATTGCACAACAAAATCATGTAAACATATTATGTAAATAACCCAATTTGTGTTCTGCGAAACTGAAAAGGATATCATATATTATTTTGAAGGCGAGTTGACAGGAAGTTGTTGTTGCTATGGAAACAACATTCTGGAGAAAACTTAATATCTTCTACATATAAAGACGGATAAAGTAAAGAACAAAGTCTGAAGATATCAGTACAGTATCATATAACTTTAACATAATTGTTTTTGGTACTTTCGTTGCAGTTGTATGTCTTAAATGTAATGTAAATGTTGCCTTCTTGTGTGGTTCGGGGCCATCTTAGTGCGAAATTCACAATTCCATATTCATGTGTCCATCCAACACACTCTCACTCCATAATCGTCCAGGAGCGACGTTTGGTCAGTGTCCGTGGCGTGCAGTTGTGACGCTCCTAGGCTCCTTCAGCTTCATAAAGGGACGCAAATAGCTTTCAACTGATTGCAATGTATTCCCATCTGCGGCAGGATTTGACGCTCATGGAAGCACGGCATTCGTTTGTGTCAGTTGCCCTTAAAGGCAGAGCCATATAATAGAAGAGTTACGACAATGGAAGTCCAAAAACGGTTATCGTCACGTGGTTCATGTAGAAGAGGATCGTTCCCCGGAAGTTCATGGCGGGCAATGTGAATGCATTGATAACAGGAGATAGAACTACGATTTTTGGTAATTATTAGCGAATAAAGGTTTTGATTTGCAATATTTATACAACAAATCGATATGTGTATGTATTTACATCAATATGTTTTAAAAAATAAAATAGAATTTGCTAATATTAAGTGATAATATTACGATTAGTGTGAACAACTAGTTTACATGTTAGGCTAACAGTGCCTTGGTTAAAGAGCCTGTTGCTGTTTATTTATAGCTTTGAATTCTTTAAAACCAATATTATCTTCTTAAACTTGTATGGTAGTCAGGAGCATCACTTTCTAATGTTTATTGATATATTTAGAGGGAGGGGATCTAAAGTAATGCTTTAAAATTCAGATTAGATTAATGTCTACCATTTTCTTAAATGCATGGTAGTTTCAGTAATCCCATGGTAATTGAGGACACAAGTTATCTAAATGACTAATGTCATCTTTATGGCTTTCAGAAAGGACAGGAGACCGACAGGTGACTATCAAAGGACTAGCAGCAGCAGCAGCAGCAGCATGATGATGATGATGATGATGATGATGTTAAATGTGTTGTTTTAGGAACATCCATTGCAAATACATGGAATTCAATAAACATTGAATAGCATATCATGCAGTTTGTCTGTGCCTTTTCCTCCGTGTTGTCCTGGTTTGCTGTGCTGCCTCCCAGTCGCCACCATGGTTTGCTGTGCTGCCTGGGGATGCTCAAATCGCTCAGAGAAAGGAGTACGAATGTACGGCTTCCCCACTGACACAGAGCGGAGGAAACAATGGCTGGCTCAAGTCAGCAGGAGCAATTTCACGACCAACAGCAACAAAACATGTGATGTAATTATATACAAACACTGCATTTGCACTTTTTCACAAAACGAAAACCACACCATTGGGAAAGCTTAATGTTTTGTTTAATACAAAAAAACAGGGAAAGGCTTGAAAAACACTGAGAGTTGAGACTCAGGGTGCAGGGTGAGGGTCTCGGTGCAGGTATTCAGGCTCCATTGAATCCCCCTCTGGTTCTTGTGCTGAAAGAGGGAGTAACAGACAGGAGAAAGGGTTATACACACCTATATAGCACACCTATTGGATGGGAAATTGCTTGGGGAGATAAGGTGTGGTCTTTGTTCCCAACTGAAGTTATGGAACTTTATTATTTGTGAGTTTAACAAAGTATGACAAATGGCATCAGTAACAGATGTGATATGAATTTCTATAAAGTTGTCTCACATTCTTGGTCATATTTTATATACAGTATGTAATGAGTATATTATGTCCAGTAAGGCAAGGCAAGGCAAGGCAAGGCAAGGCAAGGCAAGGCAAGGCAAGGCAAGGCAAGGCAAGGCAAGGCAAGTTTATTTATATAGAAAACAGCGGAGAAGTAAGAGAGGTGTAAAGACGGACCACATTATGGGCTATGAAACTATTTAAAGGCCGGCTGATTGAAAAAAAACAACCAACAGTTTGATAGCAACGGGGCAGAAACCCTTAACACGGAGCAACGGTCCAGACAGAGCCTGTCGGGTGTTCTTTTACCCATAATGACCGCTTCGCTGCACATTATCCCTTACATATGCCTTCTAAATGAATACAATTTTGGAAAATAAAAACTTTAATTGTACAGTTGATACTTCAATCATCCTGTCGTGCGTGGGTCTGTGTTAAGAACCGCTCGGCTCCTTTAGATGTAATAATATCTAAATCTTTGTGCGGCAGTATCAGAGAGTACTCGGTTCTAGCTCACCTGAGCACCTCGATCTCCTCGCCGCTGTAGCGCTGGCCCGACGGCTCGCTGCTCTACACGGCCCTCACCGGCTGCGGGCGCTCCTGGAGGCTGAAGTCCGGCCCGAGGGGGAAGAACTGCCGGGCCGGACCCCCAGAAGAGGAGCTGCTGCTGGGGGGGGGGTTGGATCCAGGAGGGCCCGGTCGGTCCTGAGTGGGAGTGAGTTTGGACTGGGACTCTTTGAGACCCTCCGCCCTGACAGAACAGAGAGGAGAGGATCATTTTTATGTCGTTATTGATTTAAGACATTGAAAGAAACACAAAAAAACACCAATGCTTTTGTTAATAAACTGACATGACTTAATTTAAAGTGAATACAGTTAATTTTTAAATATTCTTATTTTTCATTAAATTCATTAAAGGCTCCTCGATAGGAATAAAGTCCTTCGGGTTTCCATTGAGATGACAGTAATGTTCTCCAAAGAGAAGTAGGAAGATCTCTCTCTGAGACACTGGCCCGAGTACAGTCATAAAGGAGTCATAAAGGAGGCATAAAGGAGTCATAAAGGAGTCATAAAGGAGGCACCTATTGATTACAACTATATTGTTTTAATTGAATCTGGAATATAAAGTCACTTTCAGTCTAGGGAAAAAAACAGAAATAATACACAAATCAATTATACTACGTAGTTAAAGTAATATCTGGTTTATTTCTTATACATTCTTGGGATTGTTTGAGACCCTCCGCCTTGACAGAACAGAGAGAGGTTTATTTGTATGTTGTTATTGATTTAAGACATTGAAAGAAACACAAAAAAACAATGACAACCATGCTTTTGTTAATATATAAGGCAAGGCAAGGCAAGGCAAGTTTATTTATATAGCACTTTTCAACACAAGGCAATTCAAAGTGCTTTACAAAAAATGAAAGAGATTAAGAAAATGGCATTTAAAATCAGTCATTAAAAAGAAAAGCTAATAAAATAAACATTAAAAGAAAAAATACATGGATAAAAGTTACAGTGCAGTCTAAGATATGAATAGTTCAATTAAAAGCAGCGACAAAAAGAAAAGTCTTCAGCATGGATTTAAAAGTAGTCAGAGTTGCAGCGGACCTGCAGGTTTCTGGGAGTTTGTTCCAGATATTTGGAGCATAATAACTGAACGCTGCTTCTCCATGTTTAGTTCTGACTCTGGGGACAGAAAGCTGACCAGTCCCTGAAGACCTGAGAGATCTGGATGGTTAATCATTTAGCAGGAGGTCAGAAATGTATTTTGGGCCTAAACCATTCAGTGCTTTATTCAGCAGCAGTATTTTGAAATATATTCTTTGACACACAGGAAGCCAGTGTAAAGACTTCAGAACTGGAGTGATGTGATCCACTTTCTTAGTGTTAGTGAGGACTCGAGCAGCAGCGTTCTGAATCAGCTGCAGCTTCCTAATAGATTTTTTAGTGAGACCTGTGAAGATACCATTGCAGTAGTCGAGTCTACTGAAGATAAAAGTATGGACACGTTTTTCCAAATCCTGCTGTGACATTAGTCTTTTAATCCTAGATATATTCTTTAGGTGATAGTAGGCTGATTTAGTAACAGTTTTAATGTGACTGTTGAACTCAGGTCAGAGTCCATGACTACACCTAGATTTCTGGCTTTATCTGTTGTTTTGAACATTGCAGACTGAAGCTCAGCGCTAACTTTTATACGTTCTGACTTGGCTCCAAAAACCATTACCTCAGTTTTATCTTTGTTTAATTGGAGAAAGTTCTGACACATCCAGTCATTGATTTGTTCAATGCACTTACTCAGTGTTTGAATTGGAGCATAGTATCCTGGTGAAATTGTTACGTAAATTTGTGTGTCATCTGCATAGCTATGGTAACTTATTTTGTTGTTCTTCATTATCTGAGCCAGTGGTAGCATGTAGATGTTAAAGAGAAGAGGCCCCAAGATGGAGCCTTGAGGAACCCCACATGTCATATTTGTCAACTCAGATGTGTATTTACCTATAGAAACAAAGTTGTTTCTGTCCTTTAAGTAGGATTCAAACCAATTCAGAACTGTTTCCGAAAGTCCCACCCAGTTTTCCAGTCGGTCTAGTAATATGCTGTGGTCAACAGTGTCAAACGCAGCACTGAGATCTAATAATACTAACACTGAAGTTCTGCCACTGTCTGTGTTTAAGTGGATGTCATTAAATACCTTTACAAGAGCAGTCTCAGTGCTGTGGTTTGGACGAAAGCCTGACTGGAACACATCCAAACAGTTATTTAAATGAAAGTAATTACTCAACTGTTGAAAAACAACTTTTTCAATGATTTTACCTTGAAATGGGAGGTTTGATATGGGCCTGTAATTGTTCATTACTGAAGCATCTAGATTATTCTTTTTTAAGAGCGGTTTAATGACTGCAGTTTTCAGGGCCTGTGGAAAAATACCTGAGTGAAGAGATTTGTTTACTATATGAAGTAGATCTGAGGCCATGCAAGGCAAAACATCTTTGAAAAATCCTGTTGGAATAATATCAAGGCAGCAGGAGGAGGATTTCAGAAGTTGAATAATGTCCTCTAGGTTTTTATCATTAATCTGATGGAATTGTGTCATGATGTCTGAATTGATATTAAGTGGAGATAGGGACAACACATTTGCTGTTCCTGATGCAGAGGCACTGACTGCTTGTCTGATTTTCTGAATTTTGTCAGTGAAGGAGGCAAAATCATTGCACGCCCTGGTGGATAGAAATTCAGAGGCTACTGACACTGGGGGGTTAGTTAGTCTGTCGATGGTAGCAAACAAGGCACGTGCGTTGTTTTTGTTTTTGGTAATGATGTCAGAGAAGAACGATTGTCGTGCGTTTTTCAATTCCAAATTATAAAAGCCAAGTCTCTCTTTATAGATTTCAAAATGAACCTGGAGATTTGTTTTTCGCGACCTGCGTTCAGCTTTTCACACTCTCTTTTTTCTGTTCTCACGGTCATGGCCTTTCTCCATGGAGATATTTTCTTCCCAGTCACTTCCTTTACCCTAGTTGGAGCAATGGCATCTATAACATTTTTTATTTTTTTATTAAAATGATCTACTAGCTCATTTACTGAGATGTTAACAGGGGCAAGTGTGGAAGAAAAATTCTGAGTAAACATTTCCCTAGTATTTTCAGTTAAATATCGCTTTGTGGTTACCTCATTTTGAACATTTTTGTGAACAGAAATAGAGCTCTCAAAGAAAACACAGGAATGGTCAGAGAGTGCAACATCAGTCACCACAACCTTAGAGATATTCAGACCCTTTGAGATAATTAAGTCCAGAGTGTGCCCCTTATTGTGCGTGGGCTCCGTCACATGCTGAGTCAGTCCATAGCTATCAAGAACAGAAAACAGTTCTTTAGCCCCTCTGTCCTGGGGGTTGTCAACATGGATGTTAAAATCACCAACAATGACTAGACGGTCAAAGTCAATACACACTATAGACAGCAGTTCAGTAAAGTCATCAAAAAAGCTTGCACAGTATTTGGGGGGTCTATAGATATTTAGGAACAGAGCTCGAGAGGAGCATTTCAGCCGAAGGGCCACATATTCAAAAGAATCAAAGTTCCCATAAGATGTCTTCCTGCATTAAAGGGAATCATTGAACAGAATAGCAACTCCACCCCCTTTCTTATGCATTCTTTCCTGACTCATAAAACTAAAGTTGGGAGGGGTTGATTCGATAAGAACAGCTGCACTGTTATTTTGTTCAATCCAAGTTTCTGTTAAAAACATAAAATCGAGATTGTGCTCAGTGATTAAATCATTGATTAAAAATGTTTTTCCTGCCAAAGACCTGACATTTAATAAAGCTAGTTTAAGTTTATTAAACACACTATCAGTCATATTTTTTGTAACAAGCTGTGGCTGACATGGAATCACTGCTAAATTAGATACACTCACACAAACGTTTGAGCGCTTCCTGTTTCTATGATTCACCGCTCTTAATCTATTACCTACACTGTAAAAAAAAAACGGGTCAAAGTACTGGCAGCAGCGGCTGCCAAACAAAAACCCTTAAATTAAAGTAAAATACTTTAACTGAAATAAAGTGAATAAGCCATTAATTTACGGGAATTGTCCTTAAAGATTTTACAGGAAAACACTGTAATTTTACAGATTTATACTCTTTTTACAGTCAATAACCTTAAATAAAAGTACATCACTCATACTTCTACAGGCAAATACTCTAATTTTATAGATGTATCCTCTCTTTTTACAGTCAATAACATTTAATAAAAGTACAGCACTAATATTTTAACGTGCAAACACTGTAATTTTACAGATTTATCCTCTCTTTTTACAGTCAATAACATTTAATAAAAGTACAGCACTAAAACTTCTACGGGCAAAAAACCGTAAAAAAACGGTCAAATGACTGGCAGCAGCGGCTGCCAAACAAAAAACATTAAATTAAAGTAAAAATACATTAACTGAAATAAAGTGCAAAAGCAATTAGTATACAGAAATTGTCCTTAAAGATTTTAGAGGAAACTTTCCTCTCTTTTCAAAATCCATTGTCTTAAAATGTTACATTAAAATACCTTAAATAAAGT